GAGGGCGGCCTTCTTAACCGGAAGTTACCCGATTCGCACCGGATATCAGGGGATTCCCATACTGCCAGGAGAGATTCGATCTATTCCACACGATTTTCCCACTTTACCAAAAGCCCTCCAAAGTTTAGGATACAGCACGCATTTGGTGGGTAAATGGCATTTGGGATCCGCTTCCAAATCGCACACACCTTTGAGTTACGGCTACGATTCGCATTACGGCTACTGGGAAGGCTTCATCGGTTACTTCAATCATTCCCTAGTCACCAAGGTCACTTGCTAATTGTCCAAAGCTAATACTAATTAAAATAATTCAACTATTTTTAGGGTCTGACTGGACAGAACTTCTACAGCAATTATCAACCGTTACCCAACGTTACCGGGCATTACGTAACTGATCTTCTGACAAGGAAAGCGTTGGATATTATCGAGAATCAACCGAAAGGTAAACCTCTTCATCTCGTTGTCTCGCATTTGGCTGGACACACTGGGAAATCTATAGGTGGTAATGATGGTGTTCTGGAGGTGGCCAATAAGCAAGACAACGATTTCAACTATTTCTATATAGAGGACGAAATTAGGCGAATGTACGCAGGTAATTGAAATGTACTAGACCTTGATGAATTTCCCTATTATCTAATACACATAGTCGAAGACTATGAATATACATATTCAAGTGGAATTTAAACAAGAACATAATCATCATATTTAAGTAATTTTTGTTGTTAATTTGAAACAGAAAGTTTAATTTTTCTACAGAAATAATTGAGAAAATGGACGATTCAATCGGAGAAATCGTGAAGGCTTTATCACGCAAGAAACTCTTAGACAACACAATCGTACTCTTCTTTTCGGATAACGGCGCACCGACAGTCGGAACTTACCAGAATCGTGGTTCAAACTTTCCGTTTCGAGGAGTTAAGTAACGTAACACCATCGAATAAAAACTGATTAGAAAACATTTCGCAGATGAAGATGAGTCTCTTCGATGGTGGCGTCCGGGTACCGGCGATGCTCTACAGCGGTAAACTGAAGAACAGAGGAAGAATCTACAAGAACTTATTTCACGTCACAGATTGGGCACCAACTTTGTACGCGGCGGCAGGTGGTAAAGACAACTTATTTGCGGATGGAATAAACCAATGGGAGGAGTTGATGAACGGCGGTAAATTGGAAAAACGGAAGGAGATTTTATTGAACATCGACGAGGAACTGGGATATTCCGGTCTGATCCAAGGCAAATACAAATTGATCAAAGGTAATTGTAATAGTTTTATTCTCATAATTTGTTGATTTGAACCAAACGCAGGAAAATATCTGGACGAGAAAGCTAGCCAATATTGGGGCGAAATCAATGATACGTTGATCCCTAGTTACAGCATCGGAAAAGTGTTGTTTAGCAACACGAACATGGCTCTCAATTGGATGATGTTGAGTCAGATCAAGAGGCTGTTTGTGTTACGTCGCCAGGCAACCAAAACAAATTGCAGGCCACGATACGGCGATTTCTCGCCTTGCGGCGAGATTTGCCTATTCGATTTGGAGAAGGATCCGTGCGAATCGCGAGACGTTTCCGCGGAGCAACCGGAAATTTTGGAAGCGATGCTGAAGAGATTGCGGGAGTACGATTCGGGAAGGGTGAGGCAGCAGCTTAACGTTTTCCATCCGGAATCGAATCCTGATCGGTGCGGAGGTTATTGGTACAATTGGTTGGACGAAGACGGTTGTTGGTTCAACAATACTCGGAGCGTTTAAGATATTATTTATATCATAAGTTAGTTCTTAGGTAAAAGAGATGTTAAGCCGTTGGGAATGTTCAGTAACTGCGTGATTCCGTTGAACGGGGTCTGCGGTAACGGTACGACCAGAGTTGCGGATCCTTGGAAGATCAGAGTCGGTTGCTTTTGATTCCCTGAAGATGTTTGGTCGAAAGGATTGGGGATGTTGCTCGTGAAATTCGTCAGCAGGTTCTGGAAATTATTCAGCAACGACGGATTTGGTGCTGCAGTCGCCGCAGCTCTTGAACCAGACTCATTTTCACCAATCGGCACCTCTTTTTCATCTTCACCAATTGCTGCTTCTTTCAACTCTTTCGCGTCCTCGACGACAGGTGCTGAGCACACTAAAGATTCAAATCGAATTTACGATCAAAATAAACATTTAGTATAGAATTTGTAAGACGTACCTGCGGCCAAAAGGCAGAACAATATGATTAATTTCATTGCAAGTTTTTTTTTGTAGAATTAACACATCTCTCCTTGCACTTTACGTTTATATAAGACTTAAAGGAACGGAAACGGAAAAGGTTTAATTAAGGCGATAAGTTTTATCTTAATACCTTCGGCTGTAAAACAAATTTATGCGTCTTTAATGATTAAACAAACGTAAAATCATGGAAAGCGTTGAAACAAAACCATCAACGAACAAAATTAAACGCCTTGACATCATTCGGACTGTTTGATTTCGACGTTAAATAAATATTTTTTTTTAATCGTCGAATAAATAATGTTTTATAATTAATTTCACGAAAACTGCGTGCATTACATTAAATAGTTAATATTGAAACTATAAAATAAAAGTGTGCACATTATCGAGTAGTTTATTGTTTCCTTATAATGAGATTTCAATGAATTTTTCAAAAAAACTACGAATGTTGCATGTTAAAAAAAAACTTTGTAATTAAATTGTCACATTGAATACGGTTTCGAAAAACTTGGGAATTTTCTGTTAATTTTTTTTTTTAAATTAGATTTGGGGAGTAAATAATAAAGAAAATAATTGTTTGTGGTTTGTATTTTTATTTGTATATATTTATTTGATACATGTCTAAATTATACATTAATTACACGACTTAGTGTGTGATGTTTGCTTTTCGTATCGGCGTTTAAACTAAGAAAGCTTTTCTGTTCGTGTATAGTTGTTAGTATGTTTTATAATCACTTCTTAAATGTTACTTAATTAGGCGAGAAAGATGTTGAACTGATCGCTGCTGCCGCCTGACGCTTACTTCTTCTTTTGAGATTTTTTCTGCAACAACGAAAATATGTTATAGTTAGATTAGTTGATCCAGTTTTGATGATGATCGACTTCTGTACTTACGACTTCTTTGGCGTTGCTGTAAACGGCGTGGCATTGGTTGGACGCGGTGAAACTGTCCGTGTAGGAGCATTCACAGTCGTATCCCTTCTCGACGCTGAGGATTTGGTGGACGATGTTATGGGCGACGGACTGGACGTACTGCTTCTTGGAGGCACCCTTAGCGCTGACGAAGTTGTCGGCGACGAAGACGTTGCCGTCGTTCTTGGTGGTGAAGTCGACGCAGAAATCTTCGTACTCGAGATCCTTGTGCAACTCGGAAGTACCTTCCGGCTTCTTCTTGGCGTCGGATAAGGTGAAGACGTTGCGAGCGTTGAAACCGATGACTCCCTTGGTGACCTTGGCGTCCTTCAGCTTGAAATCCTTGAAGGGCGTGATCAGGTTGATGTTCACGTTGGGTTCGGTTTCGATCATCGCGTGCACCTTCTGCAGGAACGCCATCTTGGCGGGTTGGCAAGGTTCTGAGGTGACGGCGATGAAGGTCTTCGCGGCGTGAGCCCTGAACGGATACTTGAGGGCTTCGTAGTACGCTTTAGCTTGAGCCTTGGCGCCGGTGATCAGGACGATCTCATCCTTGATCATTTTGATAATGTCGACGGCTTGGTTAGCCTTCTCGTGTCCCAGATCGACGTCCTTCTTATTCGGAGAATCGGCGAACTTGATGTTGGGCAGTTTACCCTTCCAGCTCATCTTTCCGCCGCTGGTGAAGTGCGACGGATAATTTCCGTGCTCACCTCCGTAACCCATCAGATGGTACTCGACGTCGTTGATGCCTTTGGCGGCGAACTCCTTGTTCAGATCGGCTACCATCGGTTGAACCAGATCCTTGTAGATGGCCTCGTTGCTCTTGGATTGATCGACGACGATGATGACGTCGGCGGCTTTGGCCGGAACCTTCACGGAGAACTTATCACCGATGTCCCTCGGCTGATCAGAGTTCCGGCACTTCATGAATTCCGCGGGCATCTTGATCGGAATGTTCTTGCTCAAGCAGGCGGCGACGTAACCCAGAGCAACGGATTCTTCGGTGTCCTTGACGCCGGCGGCGACGCCGTGATCGCAGGCCATCCTGAAGTTGTCCGGATTGACGAACGGGAAGCAGAAACGCAGATTGGAATCGGTGCCGAAGAGTTTGTTGCAGGACGGCGCGTGATGGTGGGCGCTGTGATCGACGGTTTTGATGGTCGGGCATTGCGGGGACATCTTGTACGAGTTTCCGAAATCCGCCTCGGAGGTGACGATCTTGCCGTTGGGCATCGTGAAGTCGTCGTAGGGTTCGTTGTTGCCGTTGCCGAGAAGACCTCTCAACTGTCCGTGATAGAAACCGGATACACTGAAGACGCACGAGGTGAGCTGCAAGTCGCAGCGCACATTGATGCCGGCCTTCGAGACGACGTTGACGGTGGTGTAGAGACGGAAAGCTTCCATCTGGCTGCGACGGATCGGGAAATCCGTCGAGTCCTTGTTCAGCATGCATTGTCCACCCTTCTTGATGGTGATCGAGTCGGTCTTGTCGGTGACGGTGATGGCGGTCATGATGCCGTTGGTGTAGGTGCCGGCGACGGAGAAGTTTCCGTTGACGGCGTCGCGGGTCAACAAGTAGTTGCATTTACCTGGGAAGGTGACGTGCTTTCCGTCGAAGGTGAAGATGTGCTGTCCTTGAACGACGACGGCGTACATGCGGAACGGTGGAACCCACGACTTCGGGTTGAAGCTGATGCCGTACATGCTTTCCTTCAGCGTATCAATGCCGTACTCTCCGGAGAGGAGATGGTGGAGCGGCGAGAATCTGGCTGCGACCAATCTGGGAATAGCGTAAACGTGATCGGTGACGAAGGCGGACGGATCGATCAGTTTGTACTCGTGCAAGTTCAACTGTGCGACCAACTTCTTCACGCTCTTCACGATGTTCTTCACGATCGCTTCGAGGGCGGCCATATCGTCGACCTTCTCGTTCCTCAGTTTCTTCTCGATGTAATCGGTGATGGAGCTGATCAGTTCTTTGAGGTCTTCGTTTGGAAGGACATCCTTGAGGGTGCCGAGAGCGTCCTTGATCATGTTGATGAGCGGTTCGGTGACGCCGCCCAAATCCTTGAACATCATTTCCCATTTGTTCTTCAGTTCCTCGTACAACGGCAGAGCCTTGATCTCTTCGTACATCCTCTTAACGGTATCGACGACCAAAGTGCGAACTCTCTCGTAGTTCAAGTTGAGGAAACGACCCAAATCGTGGCTGATGCTCGAAACGGAGGTGGCCAATTGCTTGAGTTCAGCTTGATGGGAGTCCAGGAATTCGCTGCATTTGCCCAAAACGGTGAAGAAGACGTCGGAGATCTTCTCGAAGATTCCGGTGGTGATGTTCAAGAAGCTATCGATGACCTGCTTCAGTTTCGGCATGATCTCAGTTTCGAAGATTTGAGCGAATTTATCGATGTTAGCCTTGATGGTGGCAACGGATTGAGCGGTGATTTCGTTGAACTTGGTGATGATGTCGGACATCGTCTTAGCGACTGCTCCCAAAGTTCCCTTGAATAATTCAGCGATCTGTTGGATGGTCTTGTCGGCGTTCAGTTCCTCCTTGAGGCTAGTGAATTCCTTGCTGTAGTACTCTTGGATTGGCTTCATGTCGGGCATGTTGTTCTTGATGAGCTCTCCGAAATGCTTGGTGCAGGCGGCGGCATCGTCGGACAACTTTCCGGACACGACCTTACTCTCTTTGAGCATGTTCGAGACTCCCTGCTGAGCGGGTTGAAGCACCTGAGATTTGATCTGTTCCAGATTCATGCCGTACTCGGGTTTCAGGAAGTTCGCTTCGTCGAGCTTCACGGAAGCCTTCATCAGTTCGTTGGATCCGATCTGTGCACGGAAATCGGCGATTTGTCCGGGGATGAACGCAGAGTTGATGACCAACTGATTACCGGGGTTCTCCTTCAGTGCCAACACGAATTTCAGAGTGTTGAACTGCTTGATCTCGAGGTGAGAGGTGGTCGGTTTCAGGCCGAAGATCTTGGTTTCGGTGTCGACGATCTGCGCGTCCTTGGACAGCTGCATCCTGCAGTCGATGTTGTAGATTTCGTTGTTCATCAGTTTCAACAGATGATGGATCTTGTGTTGATTGACTTCCAATTGGAACTCGCTCATGCAGTGTTTTCCGCTGACGGTGCCGCCCAGTTTCGTGCTGCTGGCGAACTCGTGCGTCTTCGCGTCGTAGCTGTAGATGAGATCGTCGTAGATGAGATCGATGCCGAGACCTGGGCTCTTGGCTGTTCCGTGCAATTCGTAGGAGTATTTGCCGGGGTTCCTGTTGACCTGGCTGTTGCCGGTGATGTGGATCTTCTGGTTGGCCTTGCCGAAGACGTCGACGAGGGCGGTGAATTCGAGGAGACGTGCGGTCACATCGTATTTGCCTTTGTAGGAGACGGAGAGTTCCTTGGGGAGACCGGGAGTGCTGAACTTGGCGTCCGCGTTGACACCTCCCTTCTTGTCATCTCCGACATGTTCGATTTGCATAGAGACGGTGGTCTTCTTGGTTGGGTCGGTTTTCTTGTTCAAGAAGAAGTTCAATTCACCCTTGATCGGTCCCTTGTTGTTCTTGGCTGGAAGAGTCAGATGAGCTTCAGCCGCGACGGTCCTCTTGGGAGTGGTGAACGAAACTCCGGCTTCTTTCGGGTGCAAGTACAGACTGTACTGGTACTTGTTGTTCTCTTGGCTCTGGAAGTGGAAGTCGACGGTATGATCCAAAACGAGTTGCTTACGAGAGGTGACGGCCTTCAAACCGCACTCGTGCAACAGTCCCAACTTCCTCAAATCAACGTTAACTTCGAGTTCATGGAGGAATTCGTTGATGTCCATCCTCGTGAATTTCGAGTCGACCTCGAAGTGGGCGCACTGCTTCTTCTCTTCGCAATAGGAATTCATCACTCTGAATTGCTTGTTGCTCATCTTCAGGTCGGCGTCGACGGCCTTGTTGCCGAGGACAGCGTCGAAAGAGATCTCGAAACCTTGCTCTCCGTTCTTGTCCATGACGAGGGTCTGCTTCATCAGCTTGAAGTTACCGGTTTGCTTTTGATCCTTGACCGTGAACTCTCCGGATCCTTCGGCGATGTACTTGCCTCCTTCGTCGCGCGTCTTGTACTTGGTGCTACCCTTGATGATGTTCTTTCCGTTTGCGGTCGCGTGAATTTCGATTTCTTTGGCTGCCTTGTTGTGCTTGTTCTTCGCCTCCAACACGATCTTGTCCATCTTCAATTTGGGAGAATCCAATTTGACGGTGAGCGCGAAATCTTCGATACTTTCAATGTTAGCGTCGACGGTTCCGTCGAAGGTGAAATCGTATTGGTTCAGGGCGACGATAACTTCGGAGCCAAATTTGGTCGGATTTGGTTTGTTGATCTTGACGGATATCTTATCGGTTTTACCATCAGGCATCGTTACTTGGATCAGGAAGCCGGGGGAAGTCTCGGTGTTGTCCAACGATTCTTCTATAACGTATTTCTTGTCGTCAACGGTCAACACTATGTGCGTCGCCGCGTGCTTTCTGTCTTCGGATCTAGTGATTTTCTGTTGGATGGTCGTAAGCTTGGCGTGTTCGAATGGTGTGCTCAATTTCATCTCCAAGTGCATTTCGTTCTTGCTGACGTGAACGACAGAGAAGTCTCCTTTCAAGTTCTTCCCTTTGGCGTATTGCAGAGAAACGTCCGCTTGCCCTTTCAATATTCCGTTCGCGTTCGTCCTGGCGTAGCCGAGAGCGACGATAATCGGATCGGCCTTTTGGAACTTCAGCAGACCCTTGATCTGTCCGTTCTCTTTGCCCAAATTCACGCTACCTTCTGATTCGATGTTGACGGTCGCGTCCGGAACGGATCCGTCATCGTCGATGAACAGTTTGCTGCTTCCCTCCAGTTCGAAGATGTCATCGTTGGCGAGGTATTTGCCGGAGCAGGCGGCCTGGACGGTCTTCAGTTTAGGGTTGTCGGTCTTCACATCTAAATTGATTTTGCCGGAGAGAGGATTGCCTTCACCGCGGAGATCGTAACTTCCTTCCAAGCTCAACGAATTCGTCTTTGTGAGCTGAGTGTTCATCTGGAAGTTGACGTTCTTATCCTTGCAGTTGGAGTTGAGGTTGAAGTTGATCGGATCGTGCAAGACGGAACCGTAAGTCTTTCCCTTCACGTCGATGTTTCGGCGTCCGTCCTGTTCTTCGGTCTTGACGACCATCAAGTCGCTGTTCAGAGATTTTCCGTTGCTATCGTCCAGCGCGAGATTCACGTCCAAGTTGAATGTGTGCATTTTTGGGTTGACTTCCTTCGCGATGACCTTGACGCTGGCCTTCCTGCCTGGGGCGTTCTTGTTGTTGCGTTGCTCCACGTTGTAGAAGACGTTGTAGTTGCCAATGCCGTTGACGATGTGCGCTTCCTGGCTCATCTTACCAGCCAAATACATGTCATTGGGCAGGATCAGTTCAATGTCTCCGGAGAGTTTGCCGTCGTTTTTGGGGTTTCCTTGAATGTTGCCCTTCACGTTGCACTCGAGTTTCTTGCCGAAGGCATCGACGCTGTTCTTCGAGTCGACGGATCCCTCCTTGATTTGGTTGTGAGTGGAGACGATCATCTTTTTATTATCCTTCTCGAAGTTGGGGTAGAAAGATACATCGACGTTGTACACTGGAGCGATCAGTTTGAAGACGCTCTCGGTCTTCAGCTTGCGCTGCAGTTTGACCAGATCGACGATCAGATGGGCTTTGCCGTTCCATTTGTCTGCCTTGATTTCACCGTTCACATTGAGGATGTCTTTAAGGCTGATCTTGATGTGTCCGTTGGCACCGGACACTTTGGCGGCCTTCAGGTTAAAGTCGACGAAAACGTTGCTCGGGGTCGAGATCTTCAGGTGGGTCTTGAGGTCTTCAGGTACGTAGACCAAGGCGTGATCAACGCTGCAATCAACAAACGGTTAATTTAAGAGTGAATCATTATTATTGACTTGACTTACCTTATGGTTTCAGCGTGTTGGTTGCATTTGACGGTGAGCTTGGCTCCGACGTCGACGTCATGGGGTTTCACCTTGTGCGTGACGATACCGTGCACCTCGATCTTCTTTCCGTTAAGTTCGACCTTGTTGTCGACCTTGTACTTGCCAGCGGTTTGCACCTCGCATTTAGAATCCAGCTCGAACTTGTTGTCCAAACCGTAAATTTCGAACTCCAAATCGTAATCGCCCTTGTTCTTCATGTCAGTCTTGAAGTCCATTTCGGTGCCGACCTTGATGTTGTTGTACTGCAGTTCAATGTCGTGTCCGATTAGGTTCTTCTTATCGGTGACGTCGAATTTGATGGAGACTCCGATCAGAGGATAGGAGAATGAGTTCTTGGTGACCAGAGATAAGTCGCTGTCCTTCTTTCCCCATTCCACGGAATTCTTCATCTTGATGACGTTCTTCTTTGATTTGAGATCGGTGCCGTGAACGACCATCAAATCGCTGCTCACGGATTCCTCTTTACGATTAAGATCGTACTTGATCTTGAAGTTGGACATCGGGCTGATGGTGTTGCTCATTTCTCCGTTCACCTTGATGGTGTTTTCGATGACCTTGACGTCTCCCTTGAAGCTGCCGGAGTTGGAACCATCGCTCACGGAGATGTCGCTGTAGTATGCGCCGGCCTTCCTGCCGACGTTTCCGGTGATGGTGATCGGTTTACGGTCCGGCGAGACGAGTCTCACATTGTTGAAGGTGAACTTCTTGTCGTCTCCGGATTCTTCACCGGTGATGGTTCCTTCGACGGTGTACGGAGACTTCTGGATGCCTTGCACGTTCGGTGTCTTGTACTGGATGAGCGGGGTGTAGGTGGACTTTGCACCTGCCTTCGCAATGCCCACACCCAATTTGCCGGAATACTCGTGACCGTCGTGGGAGAGTTTGGCGGAGAAGGACTTCTCCTTGTCGCTATCGGTAACTCTGCTCTCCACGGTGATCTTCTTGATCGGCGAATCCAGGGTGGCGATGATGAATTTCTCAGGCATAGCTTGAGCTTCGATCTTCAGGCTGACCTTGGGTTTGTTGTCTTCGCCGAGAGTTTCCCAGAGGAATTCCAATCCCATTTTATCGGATGTAAAGAGCACGCTCTCGCGGTAATGGTAGGTGACGGGCATCTCTTTTTCGATCCAAACAGCGAACTTCGAGTTGCCGTTGAAGGGGAACGGAAGGCTGACGCCTTGGTTCAGTTGCGGATTGGGTCCGTTGAGTTCGGCGCAAGCGGTGAGACCGATCATCGGGCTCAGTTGATCGAAGCAGATGGAGAAGTCCTTGTTCTCGATGAATTTGCATGGGGTCTGGTGTTCGACGTGGCCGACCTCTCTGGAGGTGAAGACGACCTCGTGCTTGGCGGAAAGCAGTTGCTGCTTATCGATGGGCAGACTGAATTTGACGTCGGTGCCGTTGGCGGTGTTGAAGAACTCCAAGACGGCGGCTCCACCGGTGGCGGTGTAAAGAGTAGAGGTCACCTTCAAACCGTTCTCCATGACGGCGGCATCCAGAATCATGCTACCGACGATCTCGATGTTAGCCGATGGAATCATGGTGAGTTTAGCAATTGTGTCTTTGTCATCGGACAAGAGAGCGTTGATGTCCATGCTTCCGGACGCCTTCAGCTGCACGCTGGAAGTTCCCTCAACGGCAAGACGAAGTGGCATACCCATGGAAGTGGGGTAGCTCAGTTCGGCGTCCAGGAACATCATGTTGGAGTGCAACGTGTGATCAAAGTTCTTGGCGTGTTTAATTCCAGAGTCGAGGCTGTCGAAAATCTTGTCGATGATCACATCCGGCGTGTACTTATGAGCATCTTCGTTGACGCTGAGGAAGAGGAATTCCGAGCCGAACAGTTTCACGCTCATGTCCAGATCGAGATCGTTGTTGAGTTCGTGGCTCTTGATCTGCACCTGCTTGCCGATGGTGTCGAATTCGGATTTCGGAGCGAATCTCTTGCTCCTGGTCTTGCCCCAACGATCTCCCAGATGCTTCCAGATCTTCTCCGCGTTCGTCTTACCAGCGTTAACCAGATCGCTGGCATCCTTGTTCCTCAGAAGACCGAGCGGTCCCAGGTAGTGTTCCAACAGTTTATCGAGGTTCTCCTGACGCGCATCGATCTCCAAGAAGTTGAACTTCTGTCCGAAGATCTCGGTTGTGAGGTTCAAGTTGCTGGAACGCGGCATGAACGAGTTTTGAGAGTAGATGATGTTGCTCTCGATGGAGTTGGAGAGACCCAAAGTGTTGAAGGAGTAACTCAAGTCGGAGTTGAAGGAGTACTTGCGTGGGTCGATCGGGAAACGCTTCATCGTGTTGATGTTGCTCAGTTCGCGTTTGGCCAGTTCCTTGTCTGGGTTCGCGGAAGCCCTCAGATTCCTGATGTGAGCGACGATGAAACCGCCGACCTGCAGACTGGGTTCGTTGTCGAGGACGGCTTTCACGGCGGTGGCGACTTTACCGTTCGGGCATTTGGCGGCGGCGAGGTAAGCCTTGATCCTGATCTCGGAATCCTGTTGGATGTCCTTCAAGATGTTGATGGCGCTGTCCCTGAGCTTGTCCTTGCAAGCGTCGGATTGGTATGTATCAAGAGCGGCGACGCGAAGTCTCGTCGGGTTGCGTTTATCTTGAGCGATGGAGATGATCTTGCTGACGGCGGTGTCGGAGAGATGCTTCATGTTGCCGATGGCCTTCAGCACGGAGATGATTTCGTTTTCCTGCTCACGGTTGGTCGCTTTGCCGTCCCTCAGTTTACCGACAAGTTTCTGCGTCAGCTTGTTCAGTTGGTCAACGTTCTTGCAGTCGTGCGAAGCGCAGTAGCGGGCAACCAAGGTGCCGACGCCGAGATAAGCCTCACGCGGAAGATGTGGTTGATCGAGGAGAGCACCAGCTGAGGTCATAGAGTTCGGAGTGGCGTGTCTGACGAAGGCCATGCCCAAGTAGACCATCTTCTGCTCCAGCTCGGAGAGTTCCTTGTTCTTCAGCAGTTCAATGGCGACCTCGATGCACTCGCCGGTGCCGGCCCTGAAGAGGGCGTCGAGGAACGTCTTCCTGGCGACGGTCTTATCGCTGAATCCGGCTCCGGATTTGATCTGATTGTAAACGGCGAGCAGATCGTCCTTCTTGGCTGCTGCTGTGATCTTGATGAGACCGGAGAATTTGCTTGCGGTGTTCTCACCGACGGTGACGCCGATCGTGTTCGCGGTATCCTTGACGGCCTGCACGAGTGCAGACACGTCGCTCTTCTGTGAGACGACCGGATGAGGGTTCTCGAAGATGACGGATTTCGGTTCGGTGCATTTGTTCTTCGCCGCGTCCTTAGTGGTCGAGACGTATTGGAGTTTAGTTTGCACTGAAGCCTTGGCGCCGTTCTTGCCGATGGAGAAGGGCAGGTAGAGGTAGCTTTCGGTGACGAGGACGTGATCGAGGATTCCTCCCTTGATGCGCATCTCCGCATTGTAATCGCCCTTCAGAATTGGACTCGACTTGATCTCGGAGTGGAGGTTGAACGCTGTAGCCATGAAGTCGTGCTTCACGTTCTCGCGATGCGAGCACCTGTTCAAAGCGCGGTTCTTCGTGATGATAAACATGTTTCCTTCCTTGCGAGTATGGATGTCCGTGGGACACACGCCGAACACATCGGTTTCATGATGATGGTTCATAGCAGCCTACAACAACAACAAGACATTAGCAAATCAACATCTTCAACATTCATTCAACAATATAAAACTTACTTGGAAGAGAGAGGCTACGGCTCTCTTGATGTTCAACGAGTTCTGGCTGTCTCCGGGTTCCGCGCAGACAATGTCCTCGAGGTGACCGTCGTGGAAGTTGAGGCGGATGGCCTTATCCAAATCGGGAATTCCTCCGTGTTTCTTGCCATCGCTGCCGAAGACCTGCACGTTTTGCAGCTTCAACACCTGATTGCAGTTCGGCTGTTGGGTGAGAAGAACGGTCGCCTTCAATTTCGTGCTCGATTGTTGTCCTTCCGCGCTCGACAGAGAGATATCCGCGTTGCTTTCCAAGTTGTACTTGTACGTCGTACCTTCCGCGAACTTGAACGTCTTCGGGGTGACGCCATTACATCCGGTGCGGCATTTTTCTGCAAATAACAATCAAAATTCAATTACAACAATTGCTCAATCACAATCAGAAACGTCAGAAAAATTATAATGTCACATAAATAAAACAAAAACATAAACACAACAGTTTCCTTAGAAACATCAAACATAAATAAACGTAAAGAAAACAAAAGATTGCAAATTTGTCAATTTGAAGTTGGTTACTAGATTTATATTTTAAAATTGAACAAAAAGAAAATATTTAATTCAAAAATTTCAATCTGAAATTTAAGTAAATTTTCAAAAAAAAAATATGAATTTGATCTTTCTATTAGGATCTGTGATTATTTTTAATAAATAAAATGCGTGCATCAAGTATAAAGTTGTTGGGTTGAATTTAAAAATTTATTTATTTATTTCTTAAGTTTTTCTTTCCTGTCAATTTTGTAAATTTTGTTTTCGTCGAGTTTTGATTTTGCTTAAATTAAAACTTTTCAATTTGTCAATTTCTTTGTGACAGTTCACGTTTAACAACTTTTGTTTTTAATCCGACAGTTTTTTGTTCTTCCAATAGATTTTGTTTTTCGTTTTGTTTAATGTGTCAGTTTCTTATGTCCATCTTTTGTTTTGTTTTTCTACTTTGGTATTCGTTAATTTATATCTTAGAAATTAACAAAATTGTAGATTTTTTTTTTGTTTGATCTTTCTATTAGGATCTGTGATTATTTTTAATAAATAAAATGCGTGCATCAAGTATACAGTTGTTGGGTTGAATTTAAAAATTACCGTGTTTTCGCAAAGTTTAATACTCGAAATGTGCGACGGGAGTAACTTGAGGCTAAGTTCAAGGACTGCACGGATTATTTTCTATAATGTTATTTCGGTGGTCGCGATAATCGTGGGGTCATCCGGCATGATAATCGCATCTTGCGCGAAAACAAACGAAAAAAAAAACAAAAAAAACAAAATGGATGCGACGAAGATCCTGAAGGAAAGGTACCATGGAAACAAAATAAATACAAAATGGATCATTGAAGATGCGTTACCATGGCAAAAACAAAGCAAATCGAAATAACAGAAGATGAATGAAAGGAGGATGGTGGCGAGAGTGCGCGTCGGGGTTGGCTAATTGGAACGAGCGGACAACAATAATAATAATAATGGTATAATAATGGACGAGTTGATTCACGGCGTGTAACCGTTTTACATTATTAAACGGATCCAATTTAGCGCTGAATTGGATAATGAGTTCTCAGGAATATGGGATGCGATGTACGAACGAACGAACGTTTGCTGGCCAAACGCAGATCATCCTTCCATCGCCAATTGCGTTAATTAACGGTAATTCCAAGTTGATAGTTGATTGAACGGAACGAGAAGAGAAACAAAGTCTTGTATTCTTCTTCAACATCATCAATCCACCACCGGATGACCATCATCGAATCCAATCAAATCCGCTCATTATCAATGTTTGCAAGTTCAAGAGATCACGACCCGACGTCTTCGTTTTTTTTTCCTTTTATAAATATTGAGTTGGTTTCATCAAACAAATAGTATTATCTCATCGATAATGATGCGCGAACGACGCGGATTATTTATATTTACGGACTCGCGGTTATCAACTGTTTTCACATCTTCTTCTGTTTTTTTTTGTGTATGTTTTAAATTACTCAAGTTCAAACCGGATACGATTTTCTACGCTCTTCGTTTCTCCTTCTCAAAAATGCATTTATTTTTTTCCTTCTTCTGAAATTGATTAGAAAATTGCTCGCTTGCATTCGCCGCGTCCGTCAATCTCCAGCTGAAAGTCACATTTGACTTTGATTGGCGACGCGATCGCCTTAGTAACGCGATCTATTTTTAAAGACAGAAGAAAGCGAATAGTAGTAGTTTGCTTCTTTTATTTCTTCTGTGCGTTTATCAACTGTTTTTCGCAGCAATCTTCGCTGGAAATTTTGTATATAAATATATTATTACCTTATCTAATCTTCACCTCCAGCAGATCTTTAAACTACACTTAATTTATTTGTAACAAAGAAGGAAAGAAAATTTGATTTCACATTTCTCGTTCAAGTTCTAAACCTCTTATTATTATTATTAGATTCTTTTGTTTTTAGCCTGTTTGATATTTTTTTTTTTTTTGTTAAATTCAATTTGAAAGTACACTTAAGTTAGTTTGTTTTAATCATCTTCATTTTCTTGATCTCTTGATTATCTTTCAACTAATTTCTTTCTAAGATGAAAAATTTCGACAATTTCGTCTCATTTTATTATTTTTTTTTTTACAAAAAAATTGATTAAGGAAACTTTTGTTTTGTTGATAATCAGAAGAATAGAAATTTGTGGATCGAAAAACAAAACGAAACAAAAAAAATCTATAATTTTGTTAATTTGTAAGATATAAATTGAGCGAGAAGTAGAAAATCATGAAAACAAAAACAAAAGATGTCCATAAGAAATTGACATATTAAACAAAACGAAAAAATTGAAGTACAACAATTGAAGAGTATAAAACAAAAGCTATAGATATACAACAAATTTGACAAATTGAAGTTAGAACAAAAGACAGAACAAAAATTGTTAAACGTCAATTGTCATAACCAAAAGTATGAAAAGAAACAAAAGTTAAAGAAATTGACAAATTGAAAAGTTTTAATTGAAGCAAAATCAAAACTCGACGAAAACAAAAATTACAAAATTGACAGGAAAGAAAAACTTAATAAATTGGTTACTTGATTTTCGATGAAAATAAAATCGAAACAATTGACAAATGAAAAAATTGAAGAAAAAAAAAATAGAGTACGTACCGTCAGATGCGACGAAATCTACAGCGAGTATCACAAACAGGGCCAAGCCCACTTTCATCGGGCTAAGTCTGGCCATTATGCACTGGACTGACCGTAATCACCCTTAAAACGTCCTTATATACAGTACCCCCACCCAGACCCTATCCACTAATCCGAAACACTCGCACACAAATACACACACACACACAGATACAAACGTTCCGAGAAAGACAACAAGAGAAAAACAAACAAATGTGTACTTGTGTAGAGAGAGATAAGACATACGCTTATCCTTGTTCTTCTGCCTCTGGCTTTGTTACCTCTTGCATACACTTTGACCTTTCACACAACAAAGAAGTGAAAGAACTGTCAAAAGTGACAGTTAATATCAAAACATTGCAATCGATTCGAATCTAACGCCTCTGATTTTTGTTTCAAACAACGGTTGCTATTGTTGCATTCTTTTGTTGTTTTTGTTGTCAAAACTTCATTATTATTGTCCAATTTAGCTGGACAGATTAGCAAATATTTATTGAACGTATCAGCGTTTTTGAACTCGATCGAGTTTTTTCAAGTGGAAAGTTGAACAACAAATAGTGGCGACAAACGATCCTCAAAATTACGTAATTTACATGATATCGTTTGTGAGCATTCACATTTTCATCTGTTTTCAGAAACGAAATTGAAATTAGATAACTTGAAAAATACAAAATTGAAAAATATGAAACAAAAGCTGAAAGTTTAGTTGTCAACATAAAAAGAAAACAAAATTTGAGATTAATTAACAATTGTTTTTATTTTCGATTTTATTTTCATCGAAAATCAAGTAACCAATTTATTTATTTATTTCTTAAGTTTTTCTTTCCTGTCAATTTTGTAAATTTTGTTTTCGTCGAGTTTTGATTTTGCTTAAATTAAAACTTTTCAATTTGTCAATTTCCTTGTGACAGTTGACTTTAACAACTTTTGTTTTTAATCCGACAATTTTTGTTCTTCCAATAGATTTTGTTTTTCGTTTTGTTTAATATGTCAATTCTTATGGACATCTTTTGTTTTTCTAGTTTGGTATTCGTTCATTTATATCTTAGAAATGAACAAAATTATAGATTTTTCTTGTTTTGTTTTTCGATCCACAAATTTCTATTCTTCTGATTATCAACAACACAAAAGTATTCTTAATGAACATTTTTGTAAAAAAAAAAATAATGAATTGAAACGAAATTGTCGAAATTTTTCATCTTAGAAAGCAATTAGTTGAAAGATAATCAAGAGATCAAGAAAATGAAGATGATTAAAACAATCTAACTTAAGTGTATTTTAACAAAAAAAAAATCAAACGGGCTAAAAACAAAAGAATTTAGAACTAGAACAAAATTGAAGAAATGTGAAACACGCACAATCAAATTTTCTTTCCTTCTTCGTTACAAATAAATTAAGTGCAGTTTAATTAACAATTGTTAATTACTTTTCGATTAGTTTCGATTCGGATTTTTTACAATCAATTTTCTATTTTTATAATAATTATCATGGAAACATAAGAAAAAAAAACAACAAATTAACTTTTAAATACAAATAATTGTAATTAAGAACGAAAATAGATGATAAACATTTGTCATAATCTAAATTGGAGATGAGGATGGACGAAATTTGTTTAACCGATGTTTTCAACGATGTGGAAACGTGCTGAAAATACACTTTCAGACATTTTCTGAAGGGTCTTGGACAAAGGTCACAAAAATAAATGTGTTCCGCAAATGCTCGTCTCGTTTCTCTTTTACAATTATTGCTATCAGTTTGGAGAATGGTCGAAACCCAAACAAACCGTTTTGGGTCAAATTAATTTAATTTTAGTTTTGCTTAGATTTAACCGAAATTCTACTCATATTTAGTTAACAATAGTAATAATAAATATGTTTTTCGTAAATGTAAATGTTATTAATTGGATATTAATGGAATTCGATAGAAAATTTAGTGAAACCGTAGACGATTTTCAGGTCATCTTAATCTTAATATTTGTTTTTCGGACCAAGCGCACTCGATAATTACGAATCATTATTACATGATTTATTATGCGTTCGTTCAAAATAATATTGACTCAAAGAATTTTATCGTTGTTTCATTATTTACTTATTGCCGTTCCTTTATTCGGTAATATTATCTGTTTTCAGTCAAGTTCGTTGATGTTTTAACAAATCCACTTTGTTTTTGTTCTAATCATTGTTCAATTTGTTCAATTTATTTTTGTTAGTCAAGATCAGTGTTAGAAGAATGTAAATTTAAAAAAAAAAATTCAAATATTTATTCAATTTATTTTTGGATATTTAGGAACTTGTTCATATTTCACTCACTGCTTTTCAATGTCAATCTGACATTTAGATTTGACAGGTTTGTTTTTATTCTTTTAAAAACAGCGGTGCATTGAAACAATGGAACGTTGGCTTCGGCATCAGTAATAACTGCAACAGAATTATAAAATTAATATGTTTTGGATATAATAATTTCTCCGGTTTAGACTTGCCCTATCAAAGAATTTTCAAAATGGGGAAATTCGTTGATGTACCATGGTTTATAGTAAGCATCGTGAGCTCCGATCAGTTTCCTATTCGACTCCTCACCTGCAAAGAACGCATTTGTTAAGGGACGATTTCTGCAAATTTTCATTTCTTTTCGAATCGAATTCACTCTGCAAAAGAATCGTTTGATGTAGCTCGGTTCAGTACAATCATTCAATTGGTAATGATTTGTTTCCAAAGAAAAACAAAAAGAGAGAAAGTCTTAATTAGAGGATGCACTTACCCTTCTTCTCCTGATCCTCAGTCACTGCTCTCTTGGCTGGGGTTTCTGATCCTTCTTGCTCCAAATCTCTTTGCTGACGCAGCTGGTAATGTTGAGCTTGTCCTTGGGGTTGCTCCAAATCCCTTTGCTGACGCAGCTGATAGTGAAGAGCTTGTCCTTGGGGTTGCTCCAAATCCCTTTCCTGGCGCAGCTGATAGTGTTGACCTTGTCCTTGGGGTTGCTCCAAATCCCTTTGCTGACGCAGCTGATAGTGTTGACCTTGTCCTTGGGGTTGCTCCAAATCCCTCTTCTGAAGATGCTGCTGTTGATGTCCAGGTTGTTGTTGGCTCAAGTCCCTGCGAGTCTTCGCCGCTTCGGCCTTAACTTCCTCAACACCTTGAGCAGCTGAACAAAGAAACGTATTCGCATCGACAATTCATCAATTATCAACTATCACACTCACCTTCTCTTCTCAAGTGCTGTTGATATTGGTTCTGAGGGGTCTCTGTCAACAAAAAAGGAGAAACATACGGTTCAAGAAACGTCAATGACAAATTTAATCTTGAAATGTTGACACTTCATCTACATTAGCAATTCTCGTCTATCATAAACATTAATAATTTACTCGACAGATTTGACGTTTAAAGAAACGTCAATGATAAATATTTTCTGATGTTGTTTATTTTCGTTACAATCACGATATCCACATCCGTAATTTTGATACGTCAAAATTTGACAATTGTAAAGTGTCACTTACGTTTCCTCTGGTATTGATGTACTTCCGGCACAGCTGAATGCGGAAAGTACATGAAAAATAAGCAGCATTAGTATATATTGAAATCGTGGATTAGAGTTTCTATGGTTACTGTAAGCCTGGATGGCGGCAACTAAGACGCCAACGGCGATCAAGATGAGCAGCTGAAGCTTAGCCATGGTTGATTATCAGTAAGTGCCTGACGAACTGACTTCCTCAGATCTGCGGTCACCTTTTATACGCATTTTTTTCCCGCAAATACGCTTCGTTTCCAATCAACATTGCCGTGAAATTACCTTTTACCCGAAACAATAGAAACAATACTAATTAACCTCAACAATAATTGATTTGACAGTTAACAGTTTGACAGGTGATTAATAACGAATTCGTTCTATATAGGAATTTAATCGATTTTGAAACCAATTTCAAGAAATTAATAAAGTAATAATTGCAAATTCAGTTTCAACAAATAATTTATGAAGAAAAAAATCCAATATGCAAAATGACAATTTTCTTTTGGTTTTACCAAATTGTGTTGTAAGACTACATACATATTTGAACTACATAATTAGTGTTAACTTCGCATTATCGCGAATTTTCTGCGGTTTATCACATTGAAAATATGTTTTCTTCGCACATTGGATTCATTGGTTGTCTTGTTGCGCAATCTATTTTCGTAACAGATAACTGTGTCGTTTCGGGTTTCTGAGAAATTTCAAGCGCGAAAAGTGAGGATGATTCACTTTTTTCGTACATCTTCAGATGGACACTCACAATGCATTATTAAATATTAAAAAAACGTTCAAAAAAGCATTTGATTTTCTCGGAAACTATCAGCGATAGAATAGATCCAAAATATGCATATGAAAGCGGAATCATTGAGGAATGCAACAAGTATTCATATATTATTGTGGTTTAATCGGTTTGGCTGTAATTCACGTAGAAAGTTGTCAAAACGTTTAAAAAAGCAGTGTTTTTACATTTCATTGATTTTCTCGGAAACTATAAATGATAAAATGGAGCCAAAAGATGCATATGAAAGTTGAATGTTTGGGGAATATAACGAGTATTCATATATTATTGTGGTTTAATCGGTTTGGCTGTAATTCACGTTGAAAGTTGAAAAAACGTTAAAAAAAGCAGTGTTTTTACATTTCATTGATTTTCTCAGAAACTATAAATGATAGAATAGATCCAAAAGATGCATATGAAAGCTGAATGTTTGAGGAATGTAACGAGTATTCATATATTGTTATGGTTTCATCGGTTTGGCTGTAATTCACGTTGAAAGTTGAAAAAACGTTTAAAAAAGCAGTGTTTTCACATTTTATTGATTTTCTCGGAAACTACAAAAGATATAATTAATCCAATGGTTTTATCAATTTGACTGTAAGGGGTAAATAAACATACACAAGATGTAAGTTCAAAAGAGATAGTATTTTATCTGCAAAATTTACCGACGGATGCAGGCAGAGCTCGCTCATATCTAAAATTAATTTGTCTTAATTACATAAAACACGATGATCGTGCATTTAATCATCTCCGAAATAGATTGAACCAAAGGTTTGTAACTCATTCTCATTTATTTATTTTTTAATTTATTTGTGGTACAGTTGCAAGCAGAATCTTGCTGCTCACGATGACAGATCGATGGCCCCCACATGTCAAACGATGACACGCAGTGACATCTAAATTAAAAATAAACCGATGCAAATTATATTGAACTCGCTCTTATCGTGCTGCTGCTGCTGCATCTGCGAAAGGTTGTGTTTCTTTATGAATGGATCGAACGAACTCTTCATTTCATTGTTTGTTTCTTTCTGCTGCTTCCTGTGGAAATTCTTGCCACGTTTATCTCCATTTGTGACGACCGATTTCGGTAATCGCGCAAACTACGCAAAAGATCCGATTGCGTGTTTCGAAAAACAAATTTTTTTCGCCGTCTTTGCTACTTGCATCCAACAGGTCAACAATTTGCAAATGATGATTTCGAGCAATGATTTCATCAATTATTCTTACACCTCCTCCTCATCAACGCATTATGTAAAAACGTTCAAATCAGTCGAGACAAATTGGTGTATTATACCGTGTGTATCTCAACATGTTTACACGACTTTGTGCGACCTTTTGACCGGTCGCTTTATCCTTCGAGTCCAAAGATAAAACTTCTTATGCAGAACAAACACTCTGCATTTCAACAAGAAACTGCACCTAACTCAAGTACAAAAAAAATACACACATAGTTTTAACCTTGAAGAAATATCGTATGTAGCAGCAAGAATCCATTTACAAAGGCAATAATGTTTCATGTAACTGATAATCTATTTTATTTATTTATTTTTTCTAAAGCGAATGGAACTTTTCGCGAAGAGATTAGAGATTTAATTTTTATTTAAATTTTTGTTTAGACAGAATGTTTAAAAGAGAAGAAAAAGTTTTTTTTTTTTTTTTGATATATTTATCTCAAAACGATAACGAGATTTATTAAGTGAGAAATAGACTTTTATAATCTGTTTGATTTTTTTTTTAGTTTGAAATTTCGTAATCGTCATCTAATTTTGTTTTTAAATCACATTTATTAATTATTAATGATAATTTCCAGTTTTCCAAATGTTATATTTATGAAATTGTGTACAAATTGCTTGCAAAACCAAATATTTAACATTCTTGTATAATGAGAGCTTTGTTAGGTTTCTACATACATCTTCAAAGTTCCATTAATCTAATCACTTATTGACTATATTACTACTGTCTTCATTACTACAGTTTATAGATGATTAAACAATTGATAGAGAATGTGACCAAGTACAATTCCTTGCGGTACATCAAACATTTGTTTCATTACAATTTTCAATAAATTGACTTAGATTTTTATATAATTTTTTTTTTCATGTTTTTAATCATTTTGCAAATGTTTGTTGTATTTCTTACATCATGCTCAGATTAAGACGTTGTCTTAATCAAAATTTATTTATTTTTTTTAAATTCTTATCGTAAACTTATCCGACGATTAATTATGTGAGAATCAAATAACTTATCAACGTTTATTGACGACATTATTTTGTTTAAAATTCTGATCATTTGTTTTGAATTCTGACATTTTGTTTTATATTCTGACATTTTTTTTTATAAAAATTGTGACAATCTGTTTTCAATTATGACATTTCTTCTTTATATTCTAACGTTTTTGTTTCAATTTCTGACAATTTATTTTCAATTCTGATAACTTTTTCTTATATATTCTAATTATTTTTTTTAGTAAAATGTGACAAATCGTTTTGACTTATGACAATTAGTTTTGAATTATGACATGTTGTTTCAAATTTTAACCTTATTGCTACGCCCTCTTTGCTTGCACCCTAAAACAAACGAGAAAAAAAAACAAATTTTACAATTTTTCATTCAATAAAAATCTCCATAGCAACGCTTCAAAAAATAACAATTTTAAGTTAAAATGTATAACAGTATCATAGCTACAGCAACTATGCTTCGATCTGTCCACATTAATGATAGTAAAATGTGACAAAACGTTTTAATTTATGACAATTAGTTTTGAATTCTGACATTTTGTTTTATATTCTGACATTTTTTTTTTAATAAAAATTGTGACATTTCTTCTTTATATTTTAACATTTTTGTTTTAATTTCTGACAATTTATTTTCAATTCTGATAACATTTTCTTATATATTCTAATTATTTTATTATTATAGTGAAATGTGACAAATCGTTTTGACTTATGACAATTAGTTTTGAATTATGACATTTTGTTTCAAATTTTAACCTTATTGTTTTAAAATGTGACAATTTGTTTTATGATGTTTTGTTTTATATTCTGTCAATTTTCAGGAAAAACAATTGCCATTATTGAAATGTTATCAAAAAGTTTCACTTTCAACAGAAATAAATCAATATCATCAGCGTTTTCAAATCTGTTACTATTTGGTTTTCCAATTGTTGTTTTATTTTTCACGATTTAGACCAGTGTTTTCTAAACTTTTGCAAATTAATTCTGTAAGATTTTTGAAACTTTATTTTATCTCGCGGTCTATATGAATTATCTACAATCAGCAATAATACTTTGGATGCAAAAATATGTTTGATAGTGTCGAGTGTTATGGCTAAATGCGATAATCAGCAGAAGGATAGGATGGAAAAAACACAGAAATCATTATTTGATTTTTATTCGTTTCTCTGTCAATAATTTATTAATATTTAGTTTCTGTCTTAAAAAATACACATATATAGTAAATACATGAAGGTGTTTCTCCATCTTCACCCTCTCTCTCTCTCTCAACCACACACTTACGATTTTTAGTTAAATTTCTTTTACTCTTCGTTTCAAAAAAAAAAATGAAAAAAAAAGTTGTGAATTGAAACCGAAAGTAAAAGAAACAACTGGATGAATACGAAAACAAATGAATGAAAACACACACACACACAAACACAAAGTAAAACAGATGAGTGAGAAACAAAAGAAGAATAAACAAAAAAAAACAGTGCGAGAGAATCGGAGAGAAAGAATTATTAAAGATGATCAAACTAATAATGTTTTGTTGCTGTTGCTGTAGTAAGCTTGCAGCGTCGACAGATGGCATCGGCGGTCGTTCGCATCGGATTAGCGTTAACGATTTTGGTTTCTTGGAACGATCGCAATTGCCGCGACTCCTCTAATAATTAAGAAATAAATAAGTACGCTATGGAAATTAAAAAAACTAAGTTACACTTCTTGCTTGAATATCTTTTGTTTTTTTTTTGCTTTGAGCGCGTTTCCGTTTACGTGGACGATTTTTACGATGAACAAAAAAAAAATTGAAAAAAAAAAACAAAAGTCGCGTCTTGGAATTTCAAAGTTTAAATATTATAAAAAAAAAAAACGTATCTCTAAGTTTTCTTCTTCTTCAATATATAGTTTTATATAATATATTTGTTATATAATATATAAGTTGGCATTTTTGGCAGGCCCGCAGTTTCCTGAGCTTTCCCCGCGCGTCTTCTTTTGTCTCGCAAACGTTTCTGTTGTTGTTTTGTTTCGCTTTTGTTACTTGTTTCTTTTTTTTGGCCTTCTTCTCTTTTAAAAATACGACAAGGGGTGGAAACTCATCAAGCGGGCGTTTCTTTTGTTTTGTTTTTTTTTGATTGTTTTTCAAAAACAAAATTTGTTTCGCAAAATCGGAACGTGCGTATAGCGCGCGCAAGCGGAATCCTCTTGCAACGATCCAAAAATCGTCGCCACTACTGGTATCATTACTCTTATTAATAAGTATTTATCATCGATCGATCGATCGAATTACAATTATTACAAGAAAAGAAGCCGAATTCTAAATGCGCGCAAAAACTCTTCGGAATCCTCTTCAGACATACACACACATACATACACATAAACAGACACGCGCACACGACGACGATCCGATTTTGCATATTATAATATTATTTTGTTGTTGCTGTTGTTACTTTATTTGCTTTTTTTTTGTTGTTGTTGTTGCTTTATGTTTTCTCTTCTTCATTTGTTTTACGCAAGAAGCGCCTTGATTTCGTTGCTCTCCGCCGATTCCATGTAGCTCTTTCCGTCAGGCGCTACGCCCTCTTTGCTTGCACCCTAAAACATACAAATTTTACAATTTTTCTTTTAATAAAAATTTCCATAGCAACGCTTCAAAAATAACTATTTTAAGTTAACATTTTTAACAATATGATGGAAAAATTTCAAACTATATTAAATTTTAATTAATTTATCAATTCAAAGGTTTCAAAGAGCCCGGGTGAAATTATCAGTGTACAAAAGTTGGAGCATCCTAAATCGTATTCGCAATTAGAAACTGATGCAATTAAAAGAAAGCTAAGCAAACTTTCTATGTTGTTTTATGTTGCTATGACGATCGATGCGATGACTCTTTTATTTTTAAGATGATAACTAGTGTTCTTATATATTTTTCAATCGTTGACATACACATATTCTCCATAGCAACTAAAGACAAGACAAATGAGTCAAATATATTTATTTTTTTTGTTTTAGTTGTAATGACTTTTCAAAATATTAAATTACTCAATTTTCAATTTCACAACTTGTTAATTGCAAAAGTAACGTATAGCAACCAAAACAAAAAAAAACTTGTTGCTATGATACGAAATTTTGTATACGATTCGTAATTACCTTTTCCAGCAGCAATTTGACGCAGTCCTTGTGGCCTTCCCAGATGGCCGCCAAAATAGCTGTGATTCCGTGCTTATCCTTAGACTGCAAAAAAAAAAACGATTTAACTTTAGTTGAACGAAAAAATCGAAATGCTCGTGTTAATAGTACTAATACGTACGTTCACATTGGCTCCAGCCGAAATGAGGAACTCGATGACCGCCGTCTGTCCGTAATCCGCCGCGTACAGAATCGGAGGACGTCCATCGATCTCTTGATTCAAGTTCACGGACTGCAAAACAAAAGAAACGCAATTAATAAAACAAAAATTAACAATTTCCAATTAAAAATCGCATATAGCACCATCTATAGTAAATTATTAAAACCAAAATTAATTGCTACAGCAATTATACATTAATTCATTCTTTCTATGTAATTGTAATTTTATTAAATGAAACGCAGAAATCAAATTTCCGGCACAAACCGGAAACGCAATTGTGTTTCGTGTCTCCATTTTTAATTTTTAATTGAACATTTCCCACCATTCGTTATTTGCGACGCTTCTCCGAACGCAATTGTTTATGCACGGATCACCGGATTCGACAAATTTTGTTTAGATTTTGTTTTGTTTTTTTTTTGTCTTCACTCGTTGATGCAATCGTCGCAGATGTTTCGCGATTCGTAAACAATTGCGGAATTGCATCAACAACAATTTCGATAAAACTCACTTAACTCGTTCGATGTCGACAAATATAAATTATAATAACGCGTACACATTTATAAAAAAAAAATTAAAGCAATTTAAAAAACAACAACAAAAAAAAACTTGTTTTCAAACGAGAATCTTAAAATAACGATAAAACAATTGAAATAATTTGAATAAACTTTTGTTTTGTTACTTATTTTTTTTTTTGCAATTGTCATTAGACATTACAATGGTATCTCGAAAATTGAATAATGATAACAAATTACAACAAAACTGATTCATTGGCGTTCGAGCAATGTTTTTTTGTTATCTATTATACTTAATGCATAAAAAAAAGTAACAAAACACACATTCTTCTAATTAATGGAAAATTTCTATTATTTTCTTTAATATTTCAGTTAATTAATTGCTTAAATAGAAAAAAAAAATACAATTATGACAATTGAATCAAGGCAATGGTATTCCGATTATTTATTTAAAAAAAAAAATGAAAAGCGAAAATTGAATAACGCCAACACATAACTGAATCATTGTCAGTGACGTTTAGAGAAATGTCATTGTCTATAACAATTAGTTCGAAAATCAGTGCACACTCATTCTTAGAACTAATTAATGAAAACTTTTCTATATTTTGAATGATTATTAAGTAATTTTTTAAACAAATAATTTAAAAAAAAATATTTTTTTCGTTTATTGTTAAGATGTTTGATTTAAACTTTAATTTGAGGTTGAAAATATCTGAGATAATTACAAAAAAAAACAAATATGGTACCTGAAAACATCTGCACTATTATAACCAATTAAATATCTTTCGATTTTGTTCAAATCGAAGTAAAAAAAATTGTAAATTAATTAATATAAGCTCTCTAAAAAAAATTAATAAATCAATTTCTCTCACTACCACCCCCTTGTTTTCGAATGCGATCAAAGGGGGTTGCTCCATCCATTCATCTCTCTCAATCGCACACGCACTCCCATTTCACCTCTCTCTCTCTCTATCTCATTTTTTTTTGCTGCTACACTCGTGACTCACCTTCTTCTCGATGATGTCTTTGACTTGCTCCAAATCGCCGTTCTTGATGCCCCACACAAGCTCGCTCATCTTCAATCCTTGTAGTTCTTCGTTTTTTTTTTTATAAAATAAAATCGGTAAATTTTCCTCTCTGCACGGGGACGTGTGTTGTTTTGATTCAGCTGGAAATCGTCTATATCGGGGGCTCCCTTCTTCTGACACCGATGACAGCTGTCAACTTTGTTTTTCGTTTTGCACAGTTGGTTTCCTGCGATATCTGGGGATATTTCGCCCAATCAATAAACGTAAACACTCCTCCCACAATCCATATAGGCAACCCAAATTGACAGCCACCAATTGGAATTCAATCCGATGTTGCACATGATCGATTTAATTCAATTATTACTTTGATTTTCCAATACGAACTGTGAAAATCATGGAAAATCTATTATTAACAATACCTAAGTTATTTGCGTTTTCTGAATTGCTCAATTGTTTAATTCATGTAATGTTAATTGTTTCAAACTTGACAGAAACAAATTTTGATATAAAAAATTTACGAGAAAAATCATCCAATTTCTAGATGAATTACGTTAAGTGAGGTTTTGCGAAAACAGAAATTGCACTATGAATTTGTAAGTGGACAATCAATCAATCAAAGACGCCTATAAAACAGCGAAAATTATGCCAAAAGTATTAACAATGTCTAAGATATTTGCGTTTTTTAACTTTGACAGTAATTGCTCAATTGTTTAATTGTAGCTCTTGTTTCAAACTTGACAGAAGCAAATTTTGATATAAAAAATTTAACGTGAAAAATCATCCAATTTCTAGATGAATTACGTTAAGTGAGGTTTTGCGAAAACAGAAATTGCAGTATGAATTTGTAACTAGACAATCAATCAATCAATCAATCAAAGACGGCTATAAAACAGCAAAAATTATGCCAAAAGTATTAACAATGTCTAAGATATTTGCGTTTTTTAACTTTGACAGTAATTGCTCAATTGTTTAATTGTTGCTCTTGTTTCAAACTTGACAGAAACAAATTTTGATATAAAAAATTTAAAGTGAAAATCTTCCAATTTCCGGATGAATTACGTTAAGTGAGATTTTGCGAAAACAGAAATTGCAGTATGAATTTGTAACTGGACAATCAATCAATCAAAGACAGCTATAAAACAGCGAAAATTATGCCAAAAGTATTAACAATACCTAAGTTATTTGCGTTTTCTGAATTTGACAGTAATCACTCATTTGTTTAATTCATGTAATGTTAATTGTTTCAAACTTGACAGAAACAAATTTTGATATAAAAAATTTACGTGAAAAATCATCCAATTTCTAGATGAATTACGTTAAGTGAGGTTTTGCGAAAACAGAAATTGCAGTATGAATTTGTAACTGGACAATCAATCAATCAAAATCATGCTATAAAACAGCGAAAATTATGCCAAAATATTCACAATGTCTAAGATATTTGCGTTTTTGCTATTGGTAGCAACAACCAATTGCTACTTGGATCCTCAATTGATCAAAGACTATTTCCAAGAGAAATCGGTTAAAACAGCGCAAATTTACAGTTGTGCTCAAAAATTGGTAAAAAGAAATTAAATACGTTTAAAAATTAATTAATTTTTTAAATTAAAGAACGTTTAAAGTTGTTGAAAACTTTATCCGAAGAACTTTACATCACGATGGAAGTAAAACCAATTTCTTCGGGATGTTTGATTGGAGCGCAAATGATTAAACGCACGGGTGTTTTCGTGGACGGAGATTGCGAAAACATTGGCGATTTTTTCAAAAACGTTTGTAAAACTTTAATTTCAAAACAATTTGTTAATAATTTTTTTTCTTTTAAAGTGTGATTATTTCGATTCGCAACATGATTGGTTGATTACAGTTTCCGAAGCGCTAGAAACGAACCTTTTGCGTACATTTTCTAAACTTAATTTGAATATAAACAGCGATTTGCAGTACGTGAAA